AGAGGATCTGTTTCAACACTCCCTTAGCTCCTCAAGCTCTGGAAGACGTCAAGAATGTAGTCAGAAAGCACATCAGCGACGGTGTGGCTGACAGTGGGTTGACGTTGAAAGGTTTTCTCTTTTTACACACACTTTTCATTCAGAGAGGGAGACATGAAACTACTTGGACTGTACTTCGGCGGTTTGGTTATGATGATGATCTGGATTTGACACCTGAATATTTATTCCCCATGTAGGTACCTTTGATTTTCTAATTGGTTTCACTTGCCAATTGTTTTTATGTTATATTTAGCAGATAGGTAGGTAGGCTTCAAACTCCTCAGGAATAATTTAGGATTATAGGCAGAAGTTTGTGCAGAGATCCTGAGCCTCAGCACTATTGATATTTTAGATTAGATCATTCTTTGTTGTAGAGCCCCTTGTGTGCATTATGTGATGTTTAGTGTATCCTTGGATGCCAGTAACACCTCTTCTGGTTTTGGCAATCAAACATGTCTCCAGAAATTGCCAAATGTCCGCTTAGAAAGCAAAGTCATCCACAGTTGAAGACCACAGATTTATAGCATAGTTTGGTCTTTTTTTCTCATGGAGAATACAGTTACTTAAAAAAAAAAAATTATTTTACCGAAGGAGAAAAGAGATGCAAGGTAAACTTGCTTTTGAGTCAAGAGACCAGATTTATGTAGGTTAGCGTCTTTCTTTCTTTCTTTTTTTTTTTTTTTTGGTCTTTTTGAGATACGGTATTGCTGTGCAGCTCAGGCTGGCCTTAAGCTCACTTTGTAGCTCAGGGTAGTCTAGAATTCACAAAGATCCTCCTGCCTTAGCCTCCCAAGATTATAGGTGTTTTCTTTTACCACATCTTTAATTTTATAACTTCGTATAAGCTCAGGATAAAATAAGTATTTTTCCTAGATAATTGGCCATTCTATGCTTATTTTCCTTCAATAATGCTGTTTAAATTGTTTGATAAAGGACCCAGAAGCCTCACAGTTCCTGTGTGAGAACACGTATTGCAGGATGTTTCTTCTCTATCCTGAGGAAGCAGGCATCTCAGGGGTTATGATTTCCCAACGTGGAGCCTTAGAGTCATCTACCTTCCTGTCTTCTTCACTTCTTCAGTGACATGTTGCTTCTATGGTGTCCTTTTTGAGTAGCATCTCCAGCTGTCAGTGTAATCCACAGTTAGAAAGGGTTTGTCATTCTCTCCTTCCCCATCATTAAGGAAGCAGCTTTTTCTGATTAGATTCCTGGTCTATTATTCAGTTCTAATTTGGAACTTCGTCTTAGATAATAAATCTTGGCTCAAGTTAATTTTTTGTGGTTTATTTATTTATTTACTTATTTACAGGGTGTTGCTCCACAGCTCAGACTCTTGGTGATCCTTCTGTCTTAGCCTCTCCAGAACTGGGATTACAGGCATGTGCCACCATGCTGTTTTGGGGCTGGCATGGCATGGCACCCTGGTTCCAGGGCTGGGATCAAACTTGGGTCCTTGCACTTGTCGTACAGGCACTTGGACTGCCGAGCTACCTGCCCAGTCCACTGAAATTTTTTTTTAAATAAAAATGCATAATGAAAACAGGCATTAAGGGTGTGTGCCTATAATCTCAGCACTTGGGAGACTGAGGTAGGAGGATCGCTATGAGTTCAAGGCAAGCCTGGGCTACGGAGTGAGACCCTAACAAAACAAACTTGTCATAGAACACAAAATAAATTTGTCGTAGAACCTCTTCACAGTTTTATTTTCTATGCTATTTAGGTGGGTAGGTATATTCTTCAAGAAGTTGCTTATTGCTTTTTTAAATAATACAGCAAATTTCATGTGTTAGGGCTTTGTGGCCTATACTAATCTTTTCTTTTAGTTCCCTTGTGTTCTTGGCCTTTAATTTTCTAAAGGCCCTAGAATCACCACTTAAACCTCTCTGCTTTCTAATTAAACTCTCCTCTGTCCTTCACATTGCTGCTAGGTTTTTACTACCCCACTCTACCACACAGATTGTCCTTGTCACTTCTCTGTGAGACACAGTACAAAGCCTAAGCTTCTCAGTGTGGTGTGTGAGGTCATTCATGATTAGCTCTGCTCGTGCTCTGTCTTCCTTCTGGGAGTAAATACCAGATTACTTAACACCAAACACATGTTGTTTCCTAGTCCTGGCTTTTCCCCATGGTGTTCTCATTCTCTCCTTTCTTCCCTTGTGCTAGTCCTTCATCCTTCATGGGGCTACAGTGACTCTCAGTGGTGTTGATCCCTTCTACCCCCAGACCAGAGTGGTTCCCTTCCACAGAGGTTCCCCTAGCATCCTCTTCCGTACATAGCACTTGCCTCACTTATTCTGTGTGTGCTGTACAGTGAATGTTGCTCCTTAGAAGTAGAGAGACTGTCATTATCAGAAAGACAAGCAATAACAAATGCTACTGAGAATGCAGAGAAAGGGAAACTCTTATGTACTATTGGTGTGAGTGCAAATTAGTATAGCCATTGTGGGGAAAAAAAAAACCACACAGTGGCAGCTAAACATTGAGTTGCCATGTGATCCAGCAGTCCCACTACTGGTTGTATATCCAAAGGAAATAAAATGTTATTTCAAGAGAATCCTGCATTTCCATTTTTATTGCAATTCTAGTCACAAAAGTCAATATAGAATCAGCCAAGGTATCTATCTGTGGATAAATGGGATTTATTTTAATTTTTTTTATTTTTTGAGATAGAGTCTTCCCTTGTAGTCCACATTGGCTTTACAGTCACTATGTAGCTCAGTTGGCCTCAAACTTGCAGTGATCTTCCTGCCTGAGTCTCCTAAGTGCTGGGATTATGGGTGTGTGCCATCACACATGGATTTTTTTTTTCTTTTTCTTTTTAATTTTATTTCCATTTATTTTATGCTTAATTTATTCCCATGCCATAAGTTTTTGTTTTTTCAGTTTCTTCTGGGATATCTTTTT